ACTTGGGTTGATGCTTTGTTGTTTGTTGTCAAGTTTTTTCCATATTTCGAGCCATATTCTTATTAAAAATGCTTTGGTGGTGTATCGAATGTGGGAATGAGGAATTTCTAGGAGCTCTTTATCTGGTCTATTCGCATAGCAGGCTTCTTTAGCTTCTTAATCAGCTTTTTCATTACCTATTATGCCTACATGAGATGGAATCCGAACAAATTCTACCCTTTTATTCTTACTGTAAAGTTCTTCTAGATTTATTTTAATTTGGCATAGTATTGGTTGATTTGGGTCAACCCTTAATACCCCTTGTACTGCGCTTAAAGAATCTGTGACAATGACTGCTTCCAATTTGGGCTGGTTTGATATATATATATTGTAGGGCTTTAGATATGGCATACAGTTCGGCGGAATATATGGAGTACTCCTTAGGTAGCTGGAACTAATGTTTAATTGTTTCATCAACGAAAGCTGCGCCTACCGTTTCCATTTCAGAAGTTTTTGACGCATCTGTATATATTTGGTAATATCTTTTGTACTTGTCCTTATTGGTCATTCAGAATCATTATTTATTCATTATTATTACAGAAGAATGGGTCATTCTTCTGTAATGATAACTTGCAACTTCAACTTCGAAAGCGCATGGTTAAATGCTACATTTGGTCAGTCCTCTAATACGGTGTCGAAGCATGGACATTAAAAATGTCCACTATTAATCGTCTGGATGCCTTTGAAATGTGGCTGCACAGACGTATACTAAAAATTCCATGGACGGCTATGCTGACAAATGTGGCAGTCCTTGAGAGAGCAAATGCTGCTCACGAGCTGCTTGATAACATCAAATGTAGAAAGATGGCCTATTTTGGACACGTAGTAAGGGCAGACCGATATAATATTCTTCAACTTATTATGATGGGTAAAATCGAAGGACGCAGAGGAATTGGTAGAAAGCAGGCCTCTTGTTTGAAGAATATCAGTGAGTGGACAGGAATAAAGAAAGCTGAGCAACTATTTAGAATAGCTCGAGACAGAGACAGTTTCACCATGTTAATGGCCAACATCAAGGAGACTTGATAGGGCACGTTAAGAAGAAGACTTGTCCTTAATCGCTTGAAACCGTAGAATTATATGTGATGAAGTATTAGATTTATTAAACACTAGAAGATTTGTATTACATGTGGGGAGTTTTATGGTCCAAGGAGGAGGGTAGTTTATTTCATTGGAAATAACTTTCGGAAAATTGAAACCTGTGATTCTTTTACTAAATGATGCAGAAAGAACGGGTTATTGTTCAAAAATTAAATGAAAATTGTCAGAAAATATGTAGGACGAAGCAGGGTTATTAGAGTTTGCTTCAATTTTAACTGCATATTGTAGGCTTAGTCTGTGTTTTCTAATTGAAAGAGGTGGTTTATCAGCTTTTACATAAAGACTTTCTACTGGACTGGTCCTGTAGGCTCCAAGTGCAAGCCTTAATGCGGTATTTTGTATGAGGTCCAATTGCTTTAATAAACTGTCTTTAGCTGAACTGTAGACTATTGATTCCATAATCTAGCTTGCTACGAATCTGTGTTTTATATATATTTAGTAATTGTCAAACGACAACATATAGACATCTAGAAAACGCTATTCACGAAGCTTTTAAAAATAATTAAAAATGTATGGCAAGTTACTTGACATAACTAAAACATTTGATACTGTATGGAAACATTGCATATTGAATATTATAAAAAAATAGAAATGTATTCAGCTGGTACGTTTATGATCTTATTTTTAAGCTGACGTTCTATCGTGAAATGCATAGAATCCACCTCCATTTGGGTGTGACCTACTTCTAAAAAGGTTTGTTCAATAGTAATATTTGTGTGCTTTACCACAATATTTAAAAGAGCATTGGATAAAATACAATTTCGATTTTGGTATGTACACCCATCACTATAAAGTATAATTGTTATATTTTTATCTTTAGCAATATTAGATATTACATTGTTTTCTAAAAAGTCTACCCAAATGGAAACAAATTCTTCAGCAGTAAGTCTGCCTTCTACTTCATTCCAAATAAAACAATTGCTGTCTTGTCTTTTAAATTAAAAAAGCAAAGATTGTGAACTTGCAGCTTAGTTTTGTAATACAGTGTATACATTCGATTTAGGTGCCACTAACACTGCCTGCAAATCAACGGCAAAGACATAGTTTTCTCCCTTCTTGTCTTTATCTTTTTCTTCTCTGGCTTGGTTCACTTTCTCAATATGGTCTCTGTGTTGTTCTTTTGTAATTGTGATTACTTTATAACAAGCTGCATTTTTCGCACTGGTCTTTTTAGGTCTGAATAGTGCAAAATTTTTGCCTTCAAATTCATTTGAAAACAAAGCTATGGAAAGAGGTTTTATATTTCGGTTTTTGCACCAATCGTTAAAGTAAAACTGATAAAGACTTTCTTTCGATTTCCATTCTGGCAATAAATATAACTTTTGAGATGCTGCTAGACAATAATGCGCTTCCATTACAGGAAGAGAATCCAAAAATTTAGATAATGTTTGTTTGGTTTGCGAAGCCACCGATTTAGATGGCTGATTGTGACGCCTTAATATTTTTTTTTGAACCTATTCTCTATCCTTCCATTGTTGGATATAGGTTCCCCATTTCTCCATCTTTCCCTATCTTGAGCTGTTCTCTGCCATGTGGGACCTCCTTGTTTCCTGATGTCATCTTTCCACCTCATCTGTGGTCTGCCTCTTGATCTCTTTGCATTGTATGGACGCCACTTTCCGATGGCATTGTTCCATCGTCCGTCTTGGAGACGTTCATTGTGTCCAGCCCATTTCCATTTCAGTTTTGCTGCTTGTTCTGCCTTAATATACTACGAGTAAAAGGCTGCATTGTGAAGTCCTTTTTCCAGGTTTGTACAGTCCACCTTCCTAGATTTAAAGCGTTCAAAAAAATCGTTTGACATACCTTAACCTCATTGTTATTAATTTTTAAATGATAAATAAATGTATTAAATATCTTATTTTATCTCTTTGGTGTTCTGATTTCGAGGTCCCATTGTGTCAATAGTGGTTACCCATTCGTTGACGAGGGTTTTTTTCTCCCCAAGTAAAACAAAATTATTTAAAAATATAGTTTCTTTAATTTTCATCTATGGATTTCACATTTTAAAGTACTGTACTTTCCAATTTACAATTTACAAGAAGAGATTAAACGTAGATGTGATCTAGCAAAAGTTGCCACAGCAAAAATGACCAAAATATGGAAGGACTGTCAAATTTCAAGAGCGATAAAGATGAGGTTTATCAACTGCTTAATATTCCCAATACTGACCTACGGATGTGAATCTTGGACTCTGAGACAATCGGAGAGAAGAAAGATAGACGCCACTGAAATGTTCTGTTGGAGACGAATGGTACGAATTCGTCCATCTCTAACAATTAAAATATTTTGGGCATGTTATGAGAGCAAACACAGACAACAACTCATAATACAAGGAAAGGTAGAAGGCCGAAGATCACGAGGAAGATCCCCAACACGATGGATAGATCAAATTACAGGAATATGCCAAAGACCTATGCATGAATTAAAAGAAATGACCAGAGACAGAGATCTCTGGAGACGGACAATACACGACATCACGTCGACCACTACACTCCCCTGGGGGGTCAGGATTGAAGAGAGAGACTTTCCGATTTCACAAGTGCATCTTGGTTTGATGGAACGAGCCTCTTTTGGTTTCATGTAATTATAGTAGTCTTATATGGCTGGCTATATGGAGCAAGTAAATACGTCCTTTTTGAAGCCTTGTCAATCAACTAGGTTAATTTATCCAAAAGAAGTTTACACTCAAAACATTTTTCAAGCCAATACAGAGTTTTCCTCATCAATTTAGTATTTAAGTAAAAAAAAACAGTAACACATCTCATTTTACATAATTTACGCCGTAGACGCCTCTTGTAGTCTTTTTTTCCAAATCCTTTTTTCCTGGAATTTTCAAAAAAAACAAATTAAGACCAGCAATTTTGAAGTTTTAATAAGGTGCCTTGTTTTAAAGTAATAAACTTTTCGAAAAATATTTATTAATATTTTAAAATGTATAAAAGAAGATTGAAATAGTGTTAAAATATTTCGTCAAAAAATAACTCTTCTAAATATATTTAAATATCTAGTTAACAGTTTCATAACTACAGCTTTTTTAATTTATTTTACATACAAAATATAAATTGAAAAATACTACAAACATTGTGTTAGAGTGAATGATTGCTAAAGAAGGCCTTAACAGTTTGGAATACCCGAAAAGTATCGGATTTAAACTAGGTTATTGTCTTAAAGGCTGCAGTAATTTTAAAAAACCAATAATGTGGGTACCCACATAACCTGTTCTGGTATACAATACTATCTGTAGGTATTTATATTATAAATAATAAGATGTCTAACAGTTTAGACGATTTATTTCTAAAGAGAGAAATAATTATTAACTCAAAGAATGGAAATATAGTGTTTTAGCTTTTATTTAAAGGTTTAATTTCTCTATTATTCCTAGTTGATAAATAACTATAATATTTTGAATGTAAACAAATTTCGAAATTTGGGGTAAATATATATATTCATTTTTTTATAACTAATTATTAATTTGATACGATACAAAGTTTTTTTTGTTTATGGTAATGTAAACATAAAATGGTATTTTGGTATCCTTTTGGGATGACATACCTTTAAATGTTTCTTTTTGTTCATTACTAAGAAATAATAAAGTATAGTTTTCTTGTAAACTTTCTATAAATCTTAATTTTTTTCTTTGCTCGTCTCTTCGAGGATAAACCAGGGGTGGCGTCCAATAATAAATTATAATTTCATATTATCTGATTGTGCTTGGATTTAAGATATGATACAGTTTCTATATATTTCAACGGAACCCCCCAACTCTCCTCTCCGACAATGAGCGTTTCTGGCCTTGAATTTAATTTGTGCGCCAAATGTTTATTAAGCATCTACGCTACAGTACAACAAAGTGCGCAAACTTCGAAATTATTGATAGTACCCTTCATATTTACAAATTAGAGAGGACTTATCTTCATTAAAAGCTATTCTTTCCGGAAATACATATTTTGTTTCAATCAAACTTTATTTCAACTAGCTTAAAAATCCATAAAGTTGCAGTAATGTATATGACGCGGAGGTGCTACTTTCATTTTATCGTGCTTTAAGTACACTTTTAAAAAGTACCGGTCTAGCCAGTATGTCAAAAAAGTTCGTCATGGAACAAGTATATGCCGCAAAAACTGAGAAAGATATAGAACTATGATATAATTATGAAGAGCTTTTGACTTGTCAAAGCTATCCTTGGCATTCAAACACTCTAATACAATAATAATATTATATTTATATTAAATTAACTCAGTCTCACTATGGCACACACTTTAAGGAGAAGTTTTTAGTTATTGCTAGTACTTCCGTGTCCTTCAGGCCCATTTTTAAAGCTTCTTCTACTATATCAGGACTTACAAAACCCGTACTTCTTCTATTTGATAGCCTATTTTTGGATCTTCGTTTTCTTTGAGTCTCGCTTCTGTCGGCACTAAAAGAAATAATATATTTAATAGTTTCTATTTAATATTTATTAAAGTATAGTAACTCAAACTGTATGTATGCACAATTGGGAAGAAGGACAAGGAAAGAGAAGGGGAATGCTAAGAAAAAGATCGACTGCAAAGCTGTATGAAAAATTGAAAACACCTAAAGGGATGAAAAGGTTATACACAAGTGCTAAAGCAAGGGACAAGTCATCAGAGGATACATTCTGATTGGTTTAAAAGCGAATAAGCGGGGTTCTCTGTGACCTAAAAATCGGTGAAGGGCTGAAAGTAAAGATACACAAAAGTGTGGTGTACGGTGGTGAAGTGTGGCCTATAAAGAGAATTTAGGAAAAGAAAATGGAGGTAACTGAAATGAAATGTTACGGTGGATATTGGGTAAGACTAAAAGGGATAAGATCAGTAACTACATGATAAGGGAAACAGCCCGGATTGCAGTGTTAAAGAAGTTTCAAGTACAAAAACTGCAGTGGTTTGGTCATATCAGACGTGAAAATGAGAACTATGTGAGCCGAAGAATAGAGCTGTTAGAAGTTAAAGGTAAGAGTGACCAGAGGACTAGAGAGAGTTTTAAATAAAGAAGACACAATGGACAAAAATAAATGGCAAGGAAGAGTAAGAAACAGCCACCCCTGAACAGGAAAAAGTTGTAAAACAAGAAGAAATATCACAAAGTTTTAAAAAAGTAAAATACCACCCTTATAAAAAAACATCTCGTGCTTGGGCCGGACATGTTGCCAGATTAACGGATGACAGATGGACCAAAATATTCTGGAATGGCGACCAAGGCAAGATACATATCGAAGCAGTGGACGACCTCCGACTAGATGGACGGATGATATCAAGCGCATCACCACAAACTGGATGCAAGAAGCTCAAGACAGAAATAGGTGGAAAATTTCACGGGAGGCCTACGTTCAGCAGTGGACAAACATAGGCTAATTGATGAATAAGAGTTATGAATTAAAAGCTATTATAAAAATATGTACACCTAATGCATTGGATTCTAATCTTGATTTGATAAAATAAACTTACTTCGATTGATTTCTTAATTTAACAGCCGGGTGTTCCTCAGGGTTGTAATTTTCAGGTATACCATACTGCGTTCGGCAATTGCTGTTTTCTGTGTTATGTAGCGGTAACCTATAAAAATCCTGATATTAATATAACAAAAAAAAATATTTATTCGATAAAAGAGAATAAAAAAAGTTAGGAAGTGGTAAATTGTTTTATTGGTTGAACAGGAATTTTCCTGTTCCACATTTTACTCTCTAAGAAACTCAAAATTTTGTCAGACTCGAAGAAAATTAAGAATAAACAAAACGTCGCGTAGATATTTACATTGGGTATGCCAAAATAAAACAGAGTGAAACTTTAAAATATAAAATCCCATTTTTTTATCGCAGATTTAGATTTTACATGTAAAATTAAAGAAAATGAGGCTGTGATTGGAGAAAAATAAGTAGAGATTAGAATTATGTAAAGTAATTTTTACGGTAGTAAATCTCTGAATCTCTGGGAATGCCAAAGGGTGCAGTTCGTACGGCTGTCGAAGATTGGATCAAAGAGAGTACCGAGCGATATTAAGAGGAAATCTAAGAACAAGCACATGAAAAAATAATCAATGGTAGAATATTTAGAAAAACAAACTGAGAAATTGCTTTACATGGCAGGGACAAACTGAGAGCAGTAAGAGTAATGTTGATCAGGCAATCATTAATAAGAGAATTCCTGCTTAACTGCAGACTCTGTGATATCGACCAGAAACTGTAAAACAAGTATTATGCGACTGCGAGGCGCTGGACCATAAAACACAAAACTGTATGGGCAACCCAGAGGAGACCCTGACTTAGGAGACACCAAGCAAAATACCTTTAGCTTAGTGTCTCCTGAAGCTTTAGCTTCAATGATAACGAAGATCTTTTGATCAGACGGACATAGGAAGATAAAAAATCTAAGTAAATACAGTTTTTTACGAATTTTTTGCAGAATCCAAATCTGCAATAAAAAATGGAGGTTTCTATCTTCTTCTTCTTTCTTTGCCCTATCCGTTTCGGACATTGGCTATTAACAAGGCGATTTTGACTTTGTTTACGGCACCTCTGGACAGTTCGGTCGATGTTAGTCCGAACCATTGTCGCAGGTTATACATCCATGAGTGTCGTGTTCTTCCGGTCCCCTCCTACTGTCGATTCTTCCTTGGACTATTAACTGTAGCAGCCGGTACTTAGTATGCCTCATGACATGTCCGGAGTACTCAAGCTTCCGTTTCTTTACGGTGAAGATTATTTCTTTACTTTTGCCTATTCTCTGCATTACTTCCTGATTACTCTACATTACATTGATGTATGTGATAAAATCCAAAGACACGATGCTGTTATAACGTTAGGCGATTTTAATTCTAAACTGGGGAAAGAAGAAACGTTTGCAACTATATTTGGAAAACACAGTTTGCACACTGAAACCAGTCAAAATGGATTCAGGGTGGCACAGTTCGCAGCAGCAAATAATTACGTAGTTGTCAGTACTAACTTCCAGAGAAAAGATATCCATAAAGGAACATGAAAAATACCAGGCACTAACGAAGCCAATCAAATTGACCATATACTCATCTCAAAAAGATGGGCAACAGACATAACTAATGTCAGAACGTATCGCGGGGCGAACTCTGACTCAGATCACTATCTTGTAGGGGCAAAATTACGGCAGAAAATAGCGACAGTAGCAAAAGGGAAAAATATTCAAATCAAAAAATGCTCTCCAAATAAAACTCAACCGAACTAGAGAGGAAGATACTGCAGAGGAGGAATGGAGACAATTAAAAACAATTATAACAGAGTCAGCAGAGGAAACTGTCGGAAAAGCCAAAAGGTAAAGAAATGCTGAATGGTATGATGATGAATGCAGAACTGAAGTAGAGAAAAAAAGGCAAGCTAGGCTTAACCAACTTCAAAGAAACGCAAGAAATAACAGTGAGATTTATAACGAAAAAAGAATACAAGCGACTAGAATATACAGAAGAAAGAAAAGAGAGGTTATGAAAAAACAAGTACAAAAAATCGTAAAGCATAACAACAGACACGAAAGCAGAAAATTCTATAAATGCATAACAGAAAGCACACAGTCATTTAGACCAAAACTAACGATATGCAAAAACAAGGACGGAGAACTACTAACAGAGAAGCAAAAAATTATAATGGGATGAAAACCATATTTCGAAGAAAATCTAAATGCAGACAACGAAAATAATCAGAACGAGACAATATATTATACGGCGGAGCTGCAATTTCGGCAGAATTATTAAAGCATGGAGGATCCGAACTCTGGGAAAGAATCCATTACCTAATAACATTAATATGGACGAAGGAGCAAATGCCAGAGGAATGGACAGTTGGTCTCATACAGCCAATATATAAAAAAGGAGATAAGAGGGAATGCCAGAATTATAGGCCAATTACATTGCTAAATGTAATATACAAAATTCTTTCTGGTATAATCTAGCATAGATTATTAGAATACTCCGAAAATATAATTGGTGATTATCAAAATGGATTCAGACCAAATAGAGCCACTACAGATAACATATTCATACTAAGAACGATACAAGAAAAAGCTTATGAATACGACATAGACCTATATAATATGTATATAGATTTTAAACAAGCTTTTGATAGTGTCAAAAGAGACAGAATGCTGGAAGACCTTTGTAATCTAGGTATACTTAAGAAATACATCAGCCTCATAAACATGACGTTGCAGGGTTTAAAAGCCGCAGTCAGAGTAGATGGAGAACTGACTCTTCTGTTTAACATCAACATGGGACTGCCTGGGACATCAACTGCCTAGTTCTTGAGGCAGTCATCAGAAAAACCAATATAACCGGCCATATAAACACCAAATCAGTACAAATTACTGCATATGCAGACGATGTAGACATCATTAGTAGGAATAAGCCACGAATAATGGAAGTGTTTAAACAAATTGATCCTGAAGCAAGAAAAAGAGGTCTCAAAATAAACGAACCAAAAACGAAGTATATGACAGTCAAAAGAATAACTGACAATGAAAATAATATCAAAATAGACAACTATACTATCTAACGAGTGGATGCCTTTGCATATCTCGGCACAGAAATCAATCAGAAGAACTCCGTAAGTAGCAAAATTAATGCACGGATTTCCAGCGGGAATGGTACATACTATGCTAATAAAAGATTGATAACATCGAAATTATTGGACAAAAGAACCAAAACGACTATCTACAGAACACTGATTAGACCGGTAGTAACCTATGGATGTGAAACTTGGGTAATGACGAAAAAAGATGAAGCCCAACTCAGGACATTCGAGAGAAAAATGCTGAGGAAAGTATATGGCCCGGTACAAGAGGAAGATGGCACATGGAGAATCAGGAGAAACGACGAGGTTAATGAGTTAAATGAAGGTTATGACATTGTAAGATTTGTGAAAAGTCAAAAACTGTCATGGCTGGGACATGTGCAGAGACAAAACAATGCAAAAACAACAAAGAAAATGTTACAATGGAAGCCCATAGGAAGGCGAAAAAAAGGAAGGCCCAGAACGAGATGGTTGGATGACGTGGAAGACGAACTGAAAACAATGAACATAAGACAATGGAGAAGAAGAGCACAAGAGAGATCTGAATGGAAGAACATAGCTAGACAGACAAAGACCCATCCAGGGTTATGATGCCAAAAGAAGAAGAAGAAGAATAAAATATAATTAAATGAGAAGAAAATGGCGACTGCTGCGCTCATAAGCGAACAATCAAGTCATTTCCTGATACGTGAACAATGACGGCTTAAAATGCCACAAGAAAATGACTTATTTTTGCATATTTCGTTTATATTTAAAAAGAAAACTCTACTGATGACCATTATTTGGTACAAAAAAATGAAGTTTTTTTTTTCACAAAATTATATTCTGATTATTTATTTTACTAAATAGGTCCAATTAAGTAATCTAAAATTACGAGTATTATTGATACACCCTGCGTAATGTTTTTACATAATACGTTAGTTAAATATGCTGAATCATCACTAATATTATAATTTGCAATATTGGAGAGTCAAATCAAACAGATCCCCATTCGAGTCCATAGGTAATAACTATTAATATTTAAACTGATTATGAATCATAACTTGTGTATCAACATTAGTAGTTTGTTGACAGTTTTCGCTAAATAAGTAATGAAATGCTCCAGCCATTAGGTACAATCTGTCCATTATCGATGTTGTTTAAACAAGTCGTTTGATGTATTATGTTATTACAAATAGGAGATAAATTTTTGTTACAACAATAATTATCACAACTACATAGATGAAATTTTCTATATAATTGACATATATTACTATTAAATTAACTATGATACATTTAATATTTTTATATAAATTTTACTAAAAACGGCGTATTTGATTTTATCTGTACGGACACCAAAATTTATTGTTTATTGGAATTACCCATTGTTATGCGTATTACAGGGTGCCGTCCGTTACAAAATAAAAAAATTGTATGAAAACTTTCACGGCGAGTCTATTTATGAGATTGAATAATACAGGGTGTTTGGTAGGTCGATGGAAAATTTTTAAGGGATAATAGGGGACGCAATTTGCAAAATTTTTTGCTAATAATGTATCGCTCAAACTGTTAAGGTTTCCGAAATAAAGTTAATTTGTCAATATTCGACAACCGTCTATTTCACGTTCAAAAATTATCTAGGCGTACTACTTCCTTGTTTTACGAATGGAATAAAAATGTAAACCTACAACACTGATCCACAAGGAATCTACGTTTCCTGTAGTTGGCTGTATACCATATATTTAAAAATTTTTATTAAAAAACCTTTATAAAAGGTATATATTTAAAAACCCTAACGGGCTAATTAAACAAAACGTTTTCGGAATCAATATTCCATCATCAGTGTCTAGGAGTACATGAAATGTTAAAGTTACTGTTGGATAAGGTAACATGGCGACATATGACTCCACGTTGAAGTTGCTAGTCCTAAGACGGTGTGTCTACAAGGACTGTATGTTGCTTCCATAAGAAATATTTTTTTTTAATTGCCGTATTGCTAGATTCCAGTAAGAGCCTAAGAAGGTATCCATTGGATTCTGACAGGCA